GCAACGTGCCCCTTGTCATGATTTGGGAAACAGAAAAAAAATAATTTCAGTGTGAAAAATGGCCTAACAATTTGTATGAAAGTTGTCAATCAATATTCGACCTATCGACGGGTTGTATTTGCAAACAATGTCATCGTATCGACCATAGAATTTGCGTGATATTCACTTTTATCGAGATTGTTTATATCCTTGTATTGTCAACTTAATTTTCAATAGCCTGTCTCATTTTAAAATCAAATAAAATAAAGTCATCATCTTTGCTTATTTTAAAAGCATTTTTTTTCCAATAAAAACATCCAAATATAAAACAGATGTGTTTTATATATTTTTTTTATTTCGAGTTCTGTGGATTATATTGAATCAAACAAAGTAGGAATGATGAGTATTGCTTAATGATAAAACGTAGTCGATATTTAAATATCGAATTGATGGCCACATTGAGAGACTTCTTTTCATGTAGAAGGTTCTGAATGAATTCTGCTGTTTGCAAATGACCAATGACAATGCAAATTCGTGTTCTATTTTTATTGAAAAAGCAGATGTCTTTGATGTCAAAAAGTCTAGTCTTTCATTTGTCGTGGGGAATGGTTGTATAAAAAGTTGTACCTTTTAATGCTATTGATTTTAGAAAAAGAATGAAGGCGTGCAAGACGCGGACTATCCCCGCTCTGAGAGAAGTCATTTTTCAATTCTAAGAGTTAACGAAAAATTATATTTTTCAAAAATTATATTGTTAATATAACCTTTTACATTTGCTTCCTATATTTTGTTTAAAAATTATTGTCAAATAATTTATTTTTCACTAATGTTTTTAAGGTATGTGAAAAAGAAAAAAAAGCTTCACATAAGATTCGAAAACTCTCAAAAGCTCACGGTTAGGCGTAAGACTGAAGGCGTTAATCACTGCGCTACGAAGTCTGCTTGTATTTTTGTGTGTCAGTGTGATTTTAATAAACGAGTTTGTTGAAGCATAAATTTTTTTTGAGAAATGTTAGATTTTCATATAGGATGGGTTCAGATTCCATTTTTTTGAAATATGAAATAGATTTTACATTTACTTTTCCGTCGTTTAAACGTTAATGAAGAATGGAGACTTGACCCATTCATATTCAAAAATCATTTTTTATGGCTCTAGTAAACCTATTTTCCACTAAATATGCTTTACTGTCAACTTTAAAAACAAATTATCAATTAAAAAGTCATTCAATAAAATAATTGAATCAAATTTGTTGAAGATGACATTACAGGAAACATTATAGAAAAATATACTTTTCCGTGAACTTTGGAATTGAGAAATATATTGTCCCAGACCTGGGGATTGTCCACACCTTGTACGCTCTCTTTCTTTGTAATTTTCTAAAAGTTCCTTTGGGTTTTAAAGTATCCACATCTGATTAACACCATGCAATTCTCGAATATGTTGTTGTAGAGTACTCTTGAATTTTCTCCTTACTGTGTAAATATTTTCCTGAGGATTGGTATTGCATTTACTAGAACCTGCAATGTATCTTTGTAAGGATTTTTATGAAGTTTTGGAATCCAGAATAGGTATGAAAATTTAAATTCAATTTGGTTGTTGGGAATATTAAAATATTCAAAACTGCTATATGGTTTTGAAGAATTTCATTCATTGAAAGGGACCTATGAGTATAAGTTGGATTACCACTTATAGAATTCAAATTGTCCATGAAATGTAAGGAAAAGTGCTTCACAAATCATAGCTTTTTTTAAATTATCATGAAGTTTTACCAATTTAACTGATTTTTTTTTATTTGCAGAAACTGAGAGCAATCGTTTTGAACATATTTTATTGAATAAATCAAAAGGATTGGAAACAAGTTCTTACAACTTTTTAGTTCCTCTCCTTAAATATAACTATATGTCATGCAATTGAAATAGTACAGAAATATAAATTTAAAAAGTGATACAAGTGAAAACTCTGTTCAATAATATAGCAATTTGAAATCTACAGGTTTCATCGATAAATTTATGCACAGCAGCAAAAATATTTGTATTAGTTTGTAAAGGCAAATTTAGATCATCCTATACTAACAAATGTGTGTCAATAGTGACCAATTCGTCGAGTAAAAATAGGCGGTTAAAAAGATTATTCCTAGCGTTTGGATAATTACTAAAGGCAAAAAAGAAATGATAAACGTCCTCATACTTTCCACATGAACATAAAGGACTATTAATAATATTTAGTTTGTGTAGATCATAGTTAAATATACAGTTGTGTCTGAGTTTAGTATGGATTATGTTTGTATAACGTTTGCCAAATGAAAAATAGATTGGGGAATTTTTTACTTCTGTAGTTAAGTTTTTACGAAATGCATTGAGTGAGATGGCTTCTCTCGTTTCTATCTTTAATAAATTCCACTGTATCACAGCGTCGGGTATAAAAGACCTTTAATATAATTCTAATCTGCATCTTGGAGCAGTGAATTGTTCTTTATTACGGGTATTATATTTTGATATTTTTTCACATTTGTATGAAACAATATCTTTCAAGTATTCAGGTACATAGCCATTATGAATTTTGTACATGGTAGTCATTTTTGCGACATAGCGTCTAATTTTCAACGTTTCCCAGCCAGTTTCAGAGTAAAGTATTTCTCTTGACACAAAAATTGGAAGTCCTCTAATAATCCTAGCTGCAGATAGTTGAATTTTTTCAAGCTTTTCGGCATCTTGGCTAGAGCAGCCATCCCAAACAATAGAAGCGTATTCGAGCGAAGGTCTGATAAATGTGACATACAATTCTGAAAGGTGTGTCCTACCAATTTTAAACTTAAGTTTTTTTTCAAAAGCCCAAGTTTCTTATAATCATTGTTTACAGTACTATCAATGTATTCTGACCAGCTAAGGTTTTGTGACAACAATAGACCTAAGTGAAGATGAACTGGGACACACTTCAGTCTTTAAAAAATAATTTAGGCATAACAGATATATTTTTCTTGTTGAAAAAATAATTTTTGTTTTGGAAGGGTTGAATTTTAGAAGCCACTGATTTGACCAAAGTTCCAGAATATGTAAATCATGATTTAAAGTATATTCAATGTCAAATATATTGTATGAAGATTGTTGAAGCGAATTATGATCAGCAAAAAGTCTACACAATGATAACTTATTTACAGCAACATCATTTACATATATCAGAAATAAAAGTGGACCTAAAACAGAACCTTGAGGTAAAATTAATTCAGTTGCTTATATTCCAGAGCCTTAACCTAGTAGACGATATTTCAAAGTGATTGTGAAACCACCAAGTAACATTATACGTTTAAGCCGTTACAGAACGAATCTTTGTTTCTGTATTGGGTTTTTTTGGACGATGTTTTCTATATTAAGATAGTTTTGTTCCCATGGTATCAGGTCAAAAGGATGACTGCACTTAAGGACATGCGGAATTTGCGACAAAATAAACTTTCAAAACAAGCATTTTTCTTTTCATTGGAAGAATGGTCAACATCCAATCTACAACTTTATGTAATTACGTTTAATAAAAGTGTTTATTTACGAAGTTCGAATCTGTTTTCAAAGGCAGGTGTCATCACAATTTCTTGAATCTCCGTTCGATATTGGCACGCCCACTTTTTTACTGACTTTATATATAGTCAGCGCATGTTTGTCTATTGTTCTACGTTTAACATTAGTTGTATATTTGCATAAATAATAATGTGTCAAAAGGAGATTAATAGACAAACATGCGCTCGTGGTTAAAAAGAGAAAAAAACTGCTTCTTCTTACATTTGCTCTCTGTGTTGTAACCAAGGATTGCGACATGTTGAATATTATAATTCACCACGTGATTTCCTACCTCAGGTAACTTTGTGAATACTAAATTCCGTCACGTGACTTGTAAGTTAGCATGTTTTGTTCTAACTAGGACACTATGTTCGAACACGTTATGTCATCTGGTATTGATATAAAATCTCCTTTAATTACATTGACGTGCTCATATTGTTAATTTTGTTTTGAAACCTTCGTCAGAAGTGTATTTGTGCCATACAGAATGGAGAGGGAGATTGGAAAGAGTGATTTCGTTCGCTTTTCCAAACATGTTATTGTTATTTATCAAGTCTAATTTTAGACCCATTCTTACAATGTTAGCTCCACCTCTCATGCATACATATGTATCTAATGTTCAGTCAAGGGCAGGTAAGTGTAAATTCACAATATTTGGAAAGCAGTAAGGACAAAAAACATTGAATCATTTTATTGTATCACAGTCTGAAATCATTTTAAGATTTAAATTTGGTTTCAAATTGACAGTATTCTTTCAGAAACATACAAAAGTGAGATAAGGTTTAGATATAAAAGCAACAGAAGCAACCGAAAAAGACCCAGAAACAGGCGTAAAGTGCAGTCATCCTTTAATATTTTATTATATTACACTTTCATGTAAATTAGTTGAAACTGATTCGTCGAGAAACATTTGTTAAAAACACTATTACCCGCTGAATAATGAAGCCACGCCCTCCAGCGTAGCAACATTCAACACTGCTTGACGACGGGTGATATTCCAAAAACTAGTGACTGCGCAGAATTTATGCGCGCAAGGTTCACTGTTACATGTATTTGTATAAAACATTCAGTATAATATAATAAATACTGCATGATGTTGAGTGTAACATTGAAAATTTTCACCCCTCGAAAACCATTGTCAACCTCGGCTGCGCCTCGGTTGACAATGGTTTTCTTGGGGTGAAAATTTTCAATGTTACACTCAACTACATGCAATATTTATATAATAAATATATCTAACATTAATATTAATTTAGGATAATTATGAATGCATGATACGGAAATATAGTTTAAGTTTGAATTGAAATATATCCTTTTGATATTCAAAACCATTGCTTTTTCAGATGCTAAGATTCTCAGTCATTGAACTATTTTCAAGGAAAAGTTTCAAATTCAAACAAAGAATTAAAAAACAATGCAATCAAACAATATAATAAAATATTAATGAATATATCTTTGTATAGAAACGATTCCATGTGTCAAATTATGTAAATGTAAGTAGACTATGAGTCAATTGCTACATAACAAAACAGTTGTAGATTAATTGTGTTTAAACTTTCAACAGTTCAACTCAGTTTCAGGCATTTCACAGCCTAAAGGTCTCATCATTTAATTTCAAAGTTCCGATTGGTTTTTTCAGTTTTTCAATCTATCTAACGGAACAGCATGGTCGTATGTCGGGTCCCATGATACTTTTTGATTTGTTTTGTTTGTTGTAAAGTCATATAAGGAATTTCTTCCATCATGTAACATAGTTGAACGATCATAAATATTTTCTTTTTGTTCAACAGAAGTATCTCCCTCTCTAAGATGATTGTATACACTCTCCGTTAATTCTGATACATTTAAATTTTTGGCCTTATCGTATATCCCCTTCTCGGGTATGCTAGTCTCTATCCCTTTCTCGGATATGCCAGTCTCTGATGTGTTTACTGTGTCTAGTGCTTCTGTTTCAGGATTCAGCTTACTAACATTTGAATTGTCGACCAGTTCATAAAAATCAGTCTTGGCAACAAGTTGAAAGGAAGACTGTCTGATTCCAGCTGTTGATTCAACCTCCATCTTTTGTTTTTTATTATGTTTCTTTCTGTTTTTATTCAATAGTGATATAAATTACACTTATTTGCAAGGCCATATTTTAGCAATACAATAAAGGTTAGCACGTAAGAGAAAAAAGTCTTACCTGCAGTATAATAAGCAAACGACTAGTATAATGATTACCACTGCTAAAGGAACACTGTAAACGACCGCTGTATGTACACTTTTGTTTGAGCCCACTACAATTAGGTAATGGTATATTCATGGTAAAAACACAGTTTTGTAATCATTAATAATAGATTGACAAATCAGCGTACTTTGTTAAAAAAATGTCAGAAAATTAAGAGTTGAGGTTTTAAAACATGTAATTACTGATAGAATAAGAATTGAAAAGTTCGTTTTGTAAAAAATTGTAAATTGGAGGAAATTACAAAATACTGACAGGAAATTGGTCAAAAACTTTCAAAACTCTCTGATTGTGCATGTTGAAAGCTGGATCGAATTCTAGCATTTCTATTTATTTTTGTGTTTTAATAAAAATGTTTCTAATAAAAATGTTTTAATTAATCAGCAACTTTGTAACATCAATTATTTTTTTTTAGATATTCTCAATTTCTAAGTTATAAGTTTTGTCCAATTTTATTTTAATGTTGAGCTTGAAAACTACTGTAACCAAAGTAAAGACATTTAGTCTTTCTCCTTGAAAATGTTTATTTTCCAATTTTGTTGATAACTTAAATATGCATGCAGTAGAATGACTAAAAAATTCTATGTGTCATTTAAATGCAGCCAAGAAGAAATATTTTAGTTTCCTGCATATTAATAAACTTTGTAGTTTTGTTGCCTTTTTACCCCCCCCCCCCCTTTCTTCTTTTCCCACAAAACAACATTTTGTGTTAAACAAGATAAAGAAAGGAGAGAAAATGCTTTCATAATGTATGAGGTATTTAGTTTTGAGAAACATATACAATACAACAATCATTTGTTGATATTATGTAAAGCTACTGCGACTTACAAAGTATCTTAGATATTATTTTAAGTCCTATTTTTGTGTTTTGATATGCCCCCTTTTCTCTACAGTTAAGACTACCCCCTATTTTCTTTTCATTTATTAAAATGAGGAATAGATATTGCATACTATGTATGAAAAAGCCAAAATTTTCAACATTTAGTGTTTTTTTTTAAATTTGTCAATTCCATTGTTTATAAGGTAGTTTTAGCATTTAATTATGTTTAAAATCACAAAAAATTGTCCAAATTTTGAAATTGCCCCCATTCCACTACAATCTACGCACGGTAACAAAATTTTAATCTCATTTTTCTAAGCATGGTACATACAAATACATATTTAAAATCAAAACTATTTGCCGGTCCGTTATCGCAATTTCCAACCAGACTTGGCCTTTAACTAAAATTTTGATCAATTGTAACAGAGATATGTAAATAATTAATCATCTATTGTGCTATTGCCAAAGCAAACTACAAGAAATAAGTGCACATAGTTCAATAGCCTACTAATACAAGTGGAGGATTCTAGGGGAGTAATTTCCACCGATAACTTTATTCTGTGTGGACAGGGAAATCATTTTTTCTATTATAGCCTGTCTCACAACGAAACGTCAGACTGTAGAAGCTAAATTAGTTTAAGGACATACGCAACATAGTTTGAACTTTATTGTCTTTTCCCCTGGAGTTGAAGAGTTCCAATACTTTAAGGAACTGTGTGCTACATTTTAATGTCTATATATGCTGTTGTACACTTCTTCTAAACCAAGTTTTGATAAAGAAACATCTAGAATATATGTTTAGTAATTTTTATATATTTTTCTTTAAATTATACAAGGATTTTCATCAATTGATATCTTTTCAAAACCCCTGGTAATGCATGCTGATATTTTGTCTACGAACATCTGATGGCACTATAATCTTAAATTAAGAATATCTTGAAAAATTATCTGTAGGTAAGGTAAGTTGCGTATGTCCTTAAGATAGAAATCATTCTAGAGAATTCTAGACTTGAGTATGGATGGAAAATATATACCTGTATATCCTTCCGAGTTACAGACGAATGCATCAGTGGACACAGCGCTAATTTTCCAGTATGCTATGGTCATGTTTGATGCGTTTGAATAATCCTTTTGAATACTTGTCACTGTACCAGTGTATGATTGGCTGGTAAGTTTATGTTTTGTCACTGGTTCTGGTAGCTTTAATAAAGAAAAAAAACAAAAAAGGCTAAAGTATATTGAAAATATAGGATTTTTTAAATTCTGTTATCAGCTCAGTAGAAAAATAAAATAGTAAATAGGATTTACAACTTTTCAACTGTAACGTTTTGACATTTCACAGTAATTTAGAAGACATACTGGCTCACAGAATGCTAGTCTTGATTCATTGCAATGTTCATATTTGCAATCTACTTCACAACTTCGACATCTTATTGCCCTTTCAATATCTTTTGCATCTGAATTCAAAGAATAATTTTGTAAATGTACATGTGTAACATATTGCCGTTTCGATGATGCACAAAGTCGACAAAATCAGAAAAAGGTATTTTAATCAGTCATAATCACCATTGTATTCAGCATCACACGGAAAAGACTGAATTCCAAGCCACAGAGGGCTATCATTTAAGATGCTATACTTGGAGCAAAGATTTGAAGAATCTGAATTTAGGTTTATATCAGCCAGTAAGTACTCAGCGTCGGGATGTGTTTCATTTGATTGTTGAACACAGTTCTGCAAAGCTTGTTCCCATGTGAAGTTATCTTCGAGAACTTTGTAAAAATAGAATAGAATTTAAAGGTTACTGGCTACCACTGACCTGAATGAATATTAATAACTAAATATCGATAAGTTGATTTAAAAGAAACATTTGCAACTATTTTTTTTCTATAATTTTGTTTTTCTCATTGTTATATAAACTAGATGTGTTGTTAACGCCACGAATGCCCCCGCAAGCAGCCAAAATTTCAAATGCAATATTTAGTTTTAAATTTGTATTCATACTTTTGTATTCATATTTTCGGGTTAAATACCTGCACATGCAATTTCAATCATCCCTACAAATGTTGGAAAGCGGAAACTGAAAATTACTGATTTTCTTTTAAGTTCAAGAAGGAAAGCTCTGTCAAACATCATCGAACCATGACCAAATTCGAACTTGACCTGCATGACGTATCAATATGTAAAATTTGAGTTGAATGTGTGCAAATGTTGCAGAGATAATGAACGGACAGTGAATGATGACGGAATGACAGAATGACGGAACAGGGTAACACAATGTGCCCCGCCCATTTCATGGCGGGGGCATAAAAATATATATTTTCTATCTATCATTGAAACCGGGGGAGTGGGAGGGGGAAGTGATATCTCATATAATATAATATAATTTCAGTCTTTCTGTTCATCCCTCTGCAACCTGTAATTTTTGTTGTACAAAAGTATTTTGGGTTTATGGGTACAGGAACTTACTTCATAAAAAAAATATTGATATTACCTCCGTTTGTGCAAAATGCAAATCCAAAAGAATCACAGCCAGCCGATATAAATTTCCCTCGTTTGTTTTTGTCACAGTGTAGTTGTACACACAATTTCTGGCTTTTCGCAATATCTGCAGGAATAATCATATAAGGGTTCTAATCAGTTGCTACGTTCATTGTTTATTCTGAACAGGATACTACATCGTGAGTAAATGTTCAAATTAAAAATACTTATACTTACTTGAATGCACTTTGCTGAAGTCTGTGATTATAAAAAAGTCACTTTTATGCAAAATTTAAAAAAAAAAATATAGATTTACTTTAATTGCAAGAAAATTTTTATAAAGCTAAAGAGGTTCATCACCAGTAGTCCGGTAAACGTTGAAGGAGTTATTTCCACCTTGAAGGATACCTTCGACAAACCAGTTACACTTACTAATGTGTAACCGTTCAATCTGGAATTGATGTTCGGACAAACAGACACAACTGTTTCCCTAAACAAATAAAACTTGGTACTTGAAAAATCTTAGAACTACGAGGGTTGTTCCGAAAGTGCGCGGACCATGTCAATCGTCGTTATTATATACATGTACTATTTTCAGGAAATTTAAAATGATCAAATTATCATATATAAAAATAAGAATTATATACGTTTTCACCTGTGACAGTTCTGATCCTGTTGTGAACTTATAAAACAATACATAAAATAAATTTTCCTAAAACATTTTTCCATACGGAAGCGTATTAGTGCCATTTTGACACTTTTTATTTTTTGATTTCTACACTTTAATGTGTAAGATTTACACTTTAATGTGTAAAATTTACACTTTAATGTGTAAATTTTACACTGTAAATTTTACACTTTAATCTGTAAATTTTGCACTTTTATTTCCACAGGCACCTAACGTTACTTTATTCACCCTTGTGAGTCCATTATAAGGTATAGGGGGTATATATATATATAATTTTTTTATTGGAAGAAAAATATGTAACGTCAAGTGCTTGTTCATTTTTCTGCAATATAACATCGGGAGGGGGGGGGGGGCACGGAGACGTGTTCCCAATAATTTTGCCAATATATAGAATACTATAGAAATTATAGAGCTACATGTACTACAATGTATATGTTTGTGCCCCCTCAATAATAACGTCTGACGTCTTGCTTTCTACAGGCCTAAAAAGAGATTAAATATCAGTTATCTGCATTCGTTAGGTGCTGCGATGATCCCTGGTCAGCTGTGTTCAGACCTGGGGTTAATTACTTTGAAATGTAATGCATTAAATTACAATTACTTTGGAATTTTTACCATTACAATTACCATTACTCTAATTCAGAAAAGTAATTAATTTAATTACAATTACTCTGTTAAAGTAATGAATTAAATTACACATTACATTTTATAAGAGAAAAACAAAAATTTTATGACAACACAATTTTATCTATAAATTAACTTTTTCACATTTAGTGCTCAGTTAATATGCTTTCCCTCATGCAGGTTTTTAAGTCGATCAGAGTGGTATTTGGATTATGAATTCATTATCATGTTCTTGTGGTTAACCAATCTACAGTTGACAAAGAGAGTAGATCGGTAATGATTACAATGCATTACCATTACACATTACCCCAGGAAAGCCTGTGTTATTTCCAAGCGAATGAGGTTTCATCACCAGTAGTGCGGTAAGCGTTGGAGTTCTTTCCACCTTGAAGGATACCTTCGACAAACCAGTTACACTTACTAATGTGTAACCGTTCAACCTGGAATTGATGTTCGGACAAACAGACACAACTGTTTCCCCAAACAAATAAAACTTGGTACTTGGAAAATCACCCCCGAAAAAAATACCCACTCATTTAAAAATTTTCTGTATTACTTGAAAGAATTTGTCTTAATAACAATTGTTCCAGTAGCAGATTGTTTTCATTTCTTTAAACGCGTAACTGCTTTCACAAGATCAGCAACTGTGAAACGCTCATCTCTTTCCATGACCTTACTGACTTTTTAAAGATTTTGATCAGACTTTTAAAAATAATTCACTTCTCCACAGATTGTCCTGGTCTAATACAGAACCTTTTCATTCCATTTCCGTATCTGCATTTCCCATTTACACACACATGCACGACTCGCTTTTAACATTTCCTGCTTCCTCCAACATTTTATTTCTTTTCAACGAAGCAAAATATTTGGTCATATTTTGGACATCTATGATTTTTTTTTTCGTTTTTGCGCCATTTTACAGAGGATATGACTACAGACATTATATAGTGTATTGTTTGTAAATTACTAAGATTTGACCTGCTCCGCGGGCCGATTTTCGCAGTTTTTAAATCTGAATTAGTTTTAAATAAATTAAGATATCTTACAAATTTTTAATACACATCTTTCGAATTTATTGTTAAAAAACTTCTACCAAATTTAGATATAATATGACGTTAAAAAGTTATGAGAGTAGTCCGCGAACTTTCCGAACACCCCTCGTAAAAATCAATTGATAAACAAGAATAAACTAAAAAAAATGCTAGCAATGCCTACATTTTTATGATAAAAATAGAAAAAAGGTAACTTTAAAGTAAAAATTATATTTAAGATAAGAACACCAGAGGACAAACCCGCATTCCGAATATCTCTGAAGCAGTCAAACAGAATTCCTGACATTTACATACTGTTATATCTAGAATTGTTTGGACGATTTTCTGATGCCGAAGGACTTTGTCGTGGTCATAACATCCTGGAATTAGAAAGCTGAATGTGTCCGAGTAAAGATACTCCGAGTATAGGTATACAATACGGCAAAGAAAATAGAGAATTAAGTAATACACCTCTCATCTTTAAATAGTTTTAAAATAACTATTTTAAATAGTTTAACAATTTAAGTCTGGACAATCTGTTTCGATACAGAGCTATTAATAACTCTTCAACATTTGATGATGCATATTTGCGTTATGAACATAATAAATGGTTGTGTAATGTACATGCATGTCGATCAATCTGAAGTCAGAAAACTCAGATTTCTTTCTTCTATTTATAGCTTAAAAAACACACCAAGAAAATGAATCCAGTCACTTCTTTTTGTATAATGCCTTGTCCAGTATCTTCTTGATTCCTCTTCATCAAGGGAAAGCTTCCCATCCCTTGAAACCATTTCTTTATCACGACAAAAAAATTGAGCATCTATCCATTTCATTGAATCGGTTGATGTCAAATTCTTTGAAGTAACTGGTATATATGTAAAGAAAATCAAGCCTTGAATATCAGTCAAAACTTCATGTTACAGGAACATTTATTACTTTATTACTTTAAAAAAGGAACTTAACTTTCTTTAAGAATCATCATCAATATTTAATGAAAAAAAAATTCCTTACCTCTAATTACGCAGAAAAGAAAAAGAAGGATAAAATACTCGTATAGGTTCATATTCTTGTTGTTCTTCAATCTGTATGAAAACATCAGCTTACCTAATAAGACTAAAAAGATTCCAATGGTTTTATAAAGTATCTAAAATGATCAGAAAATGACAAAAATGTTAATTCGTATGTATGAGATGTTTTTACTAGCTTTCTCTTGGGGTTGAAATGAGGAATACCAGGATATAGGATAGTTAATATGGAATTCAAAATAAATCCACACTCAAAGTACGATCAATTTTAAAACCAATGCAACTACTGAAAAACAAGTTGATGGTATAAAAAGATTTTAACAACCTCGCTTAGTAAAGTCGGATTTTGGTAAATTCCACCATCGTTATAACTAGTTATAATTGTAACGGGGACCGTTACAGATGTTCCCCAAACGCTCCCCAACTCCCTTTTGGTGATTTTTTTTACTGTAAGCTTCATTAAATAAGGCAATGAAGTATATTGGTCATTTTTTGCATTTCACGCGCGCGCACGTGCATGCATGTGCAGGATGACCAAGTCATCCCGTCTATACTATATATGCATCTTTATATTCTCAGTATCAAAACATTTCATCAAAAAATATATAAGTTCCGGCTAAATCAAGCATATTGGTCATCTTAGCATTGCGCGCACGCGCACATGCATGCATGTTCATAATGACCATGCCATTTTGTGTACACTTATAATATGTCTGTTAATTCATAGTATCAAAGCTTTTCATCAAAAAATATAAAAGTTGCGGCTATATTAAGTATATTGGTCATTTAACACATTGCACGCGCGCGCATGTGCATGCATGTGCATCATGGCCAAATCATCTTGTCTACACTTTTAATATATATATATATATATATTCTTAATATCAAAGCTTTTCATCAAAAAATATAAAAATTA